AGATTAAACTGTTAAAGCACTAAGAGAGAACAAACAAACAGACTCAAGAGAAATCCTGATAAAACAAAACATGATCGTTCTTTAACAAACACCTGCCGGGCGGTCTTTCTAAAAAGTCGTTAAAGGAGATTGAACTTTGTCTATAAATCTCACAACTGCGAGATACGATATTGCATTCATGCGCTTTTACGAATTTTACGTGACTCACGTCGCCAATTTGTGCACAGAATAAGCAATAATATAAGTTTAGCTATGAATCTGAAAGTTTTGTCCTTTCTTTTCTCGCCTTTTCTATTTGCTCTTTGACTTTATTCATTGAACTAGGTAGTTGAATGACTTGTTTCATAGATTTATAGACAGCAAAATTTTCTTAATGAAATACTTTTTTTATATTTTATTTATTACATTATATGTTACAAAACTTTATTCATAGTCCTGTTTTCTTAAAACATTGATATTATTTTACTGTATTGTACAAAATAATAAGCTAGATATTATAAAGTAGTATTTTTTATTAATATTTTTATTTTTGTGTCTAAAATAAAAAACAAAACCCAAAAATATTTTTTTTTAATTAATAATCAAAAACTGACTATTAAATTTACTTATTGAGGTTTACGCAGAGGGTATTTATTTTTCTCAGAAGTCATGAAAATATAATGAAACTTGTCTTATTTTTTACTATATCATATTATACCTTTTGACATAAATTTGTTATAACATGTAACCTATATGACTTTATTTGTAATCCCTGGAGAATATAGAATGAAGGAAAGGAAATATAAAAAAATGTTTTGAATGACAAAATCCTACACATAATACATTTCAGACATTAAAAAAAAAATACCTATACGTTATTTAATAAAACCAATAAATTTTCGAGATTCGTTAACGTCGTCGGTCCCGCAGATTTCTTATTGGTCCATTATAATAATAATGTCGTTTTCGCTGAATTTGAACTTCATTAATTTCTTATAGGGAAAATTCAGGTCGAGCCTGAACTTTCTGTACCTGTCCATAAAATGCCAGCCATCACCATTCATTTTCATTCCAATCGCTCCATCGTTGCCAATATTGGTAACAAGTTTTGCGGATGAAGCATAAAAACATGTGTTTTTTTGCACAACATTTTTTGCTAGCTTGTTACAGACCGTAATAGAAGTAACCTTCCTAGAGAAAATTCGAGTAAATTCCACAAAGAAACGAAAACACGTTCGTAAATAAGTAGGTATTCAATAAATGAACACACGTTTTTATGTCAAAGGATTTTTTGTTTGGTTCTGCTTGAAAAACATGAAAATCAAAATATATGGAAAATATTTGATTGGCGTGGCGTACCTACCACTTTATCTAAATCTGTAATTGACTATTTCTTACTTACGTGATTATTTATTATTGAATATATTGGCAAGAATATTTCCAATTTTTATAGGACAATGTCCTGGGAATTACCAAAAATTTTTTTTACCAAGCCAACCTCTAAGAAACGTTCTTAGAAAATTTTAAATTCAAAGAATCACATTTTCTGAGATTTCGTCAGTAGTTCTTTAGTGGTATTTCATTTTAATGAAAGAAAGTCGAATGTGCGACATATGGAAAAAAAAATATTTTTCATGACATCACATGGTCATTCAATACTAAAAAGTATTTTCTTTTCATATCCCCCATTTTGTTATTAGATATTATTGAATTGAAGATTAGCATACCAATTCTGTTATATACAGTATAGATAAGATAATACAGAAGGAAGCTATATCTCCCTTGTATTTTATTCTTAAATGGGTATCTAAACTTAATTATTTTCATTCAAAGACTTCTTAGTGTAAATGGTAAAACGCTCATTTGCTCAAATAGAAGAAGAAAACAAGAATCCCTTGATAGAGCTGTTGCCACGCCAAATCCAACTAGATCAAGAAAATGAGAAAGTTATTTTGCTCTTAGATTGTTTTATACTATAGTTATATAGTAGTTCTTTTGGAATAATACATTTAAAGTAGTCCAACATTATTATAGCAATTATTGTAATCATGTTTGCTAAGTAAAATCAAACAACAGGAAGAATTTACTATTATATTATCTTTATCTTCTATAGAAATTAAAAATTATGTCAATAATACAATACTCGAATTAAACATAGGATTTGTTCCTTGATATATATATATATATATATATATATATATATATAATACAATATTAATATGTATATGATAAATTACAAAAAGAGGAGAAGCATATCATTTATTATAATTGTGATTGAAATACATAGTTGGTATACTTTCTGATCTGCCTATACCAAAATAAAACAGAAGTGAGCTTAACAAATAATAACAAAGATAATATTCTCTGTCCCTAAATATAATAAAAATAATGTTTATTTTAACGCTAACAGTTTATGGAGAATTAATTTTAGAAAAATTCAGGTTCATAGCCACTCCTATACCTAATAATGCCTACTCTGACCAACTTCAACTATGTCGTTCGAGAGTTCTACTTCATGGAATAAGTACTCTCTAGCATATAGAACGCTTTACTTTACTCGACATATACGACGAAAGGAACCTTAATACAAGTGTATGTGACACACGCACTGTTCGGTGGTTCGGTGGTTCATAGAGGACGCCCTTAATGTCACCAAGAGGTTAGATATTGGCACCATTAGGTAGCTACGCTTAAACGCAAATGTCTTGACCTAGATATTCAATCATTGAATAACAGATCTATCCTATATTCACGTCTATTTGACATGTACAGTTAAGTAGGAAAAAACGATATCCAAGAGTAATATAAAATATAAATCCATTTTATTTTATAAATTTTCCACAGGGTATGTATACCTGCATCTGCTTATTGTATTTGGAATTGCCATGCATGCAAATGTATCATGCTCGAATGAATTGACATGCTTAATATAAGGTCTTCTGTTAATATAAATGATTAAGTGTGGATACATTTTCATGTCAGTTCACTGACTTTATAATTAATAATAATAATAATGAGAAGGTTAGTACAATTCTAATTTTATTATAGTAGTAAAAAAAGTTTTGACAAAGTTTCCGGAGACGTTACCTAGTTATAAATATGATTTGAATAATTTTAAATTTTCAAGTGATAAAAAAATAACTATCATATCATTAAAGTTATATTCTAGTCAGTGCAAAATAATAGTTTTTTTTGTTTCAAATAATCCAAGCAACAGCTGTAAAGTTTTTTGCAATACATGTTGAAATTGAACATTTCATTATGTGAATATACCGGACAAACTTCTCTAAAGGAAGATAGGGCGCATACCTTTGTTGTTTATTATCATAAAGCAACAATGTTAGGTACAAAAGTGAAGAGATAGCGGTCAACAATGTACATTGACTACGTGCGGTACCCGACCATGGGGCACAGCGTCGGTAGTGAAACATTGTGGTAACCCGCAACACTGTCGTGTTACTCATATTGTAATGCAGGCGACGTAATTCTATATTCCCTGCTATATATATAAAGTCGAATCGAACGTAGCTGTTAAAGCTGACAGCATTAAACTGTTAGTTTCATTTTACTAATTTGATCCAACCTACTAGTATACGGGGAAAGAGATTATTAGTAATGGAGTCTAATAACCCCTTTGCTAGCAATTGAGCCTATTAGGTCGACCTCCACACAGTGCCTCTATTAGTAGAAACTATCTGAAATAATGTTTGTAAAATTTGTCACAATAGGCTGAACCTGCCTGCTTTCACCCTCACCTATCATGCTTCAGTTGCGCCTCCGCCAGCGCATACCGATAGATATAGCAGAATTACTATTCCAATATTACTCATTACAAAAAAACATACTTAAACAGATACAATTTATATCGATAACCACTACACACACTGATACTGAAATCTCCTAATTAATAAAAGGTCTTCAAAAATAATAAATACATATTTTATTCATATATTAAATCATTATCAGGAAAAACTTTTTTAAATGTCGTGATATCTTAATTCTTAAGTAAACATACATATTGTGAAAAAATATATGCATACTTAAAGAAAATTATGTGAATAACTTATGTGTATATATACTTAGTTCGGTTCATAACATTTGCTATTTCTTTTTTGTTAAACCCTACAGTTTTCTACATATATCTAATATAAACACGCGTTAGGCTACTAATCTATTTTCGGAACCCTTTTCATGTCTGGCCAGAAAATTTAGAATGAGTTTACAAGCTTTTTTGGAGTTTCACATATTATCTCTTATTTGTTTAATACAGTGATATTATTTCAATAGAAAAATCGGGATAATTTATCCAAAGTATCTCAATAATACTAAGCTTAAACCTAAGATAAATTATTTTGGAAAAGAATTAGCTACAAATACAAAAATACCTCTGCTTATGACCAACCAGAAATATTTTTATTAGCTCCGATCCAATATGTATGATTGGATTCATCCGGCTCCGGGAAATTGATTTATTTCCCAATTGGAATTGTTATGTTCCCTATTCTTCATTAGCACCTTTCGCCCTGTATCCAAGGAAGGTCAATGCGCTTGTTATTTATAAAAAAAAATCATAAACAGTCATTGTATTTTGGTACTATTACAATTCTAAATCAATTCTAAATTATTTCAATACTATATTTGTAACGAAAAAAAAGAGTAAATACATAGTTCTAGGTAAAAATTGTTTAGAGTTCACATTTTATAATAATTGTAAGAAAATACTGAATAGGTATTTTTATAATCCATCTTTAGTGTCTAAATATATGTAGATCTCGATTTGTCTGAATAAATAAACCAAAACTATTTAATGTAAATAACTATTTAACTAGTAAGTCATCAGCATTTTTATTTACAATATTGAATATAAAAAAAAGGAGCTTGGATCGCATAGCAAATAAACAATCATTATGTGAAATAAATAAATTCGCAAATAGCCTAGTACAGGGAAATCGGGACATAATAAATATTAACTTGTTTGTATAAATAACAATACATTTTGAGGAATAATAAAAAATACTAACCTTGACGATCGGCGCGGCGGGCCAGCAGCACAAAAATTTGCGTCTCCCATTTTCCACAATATTTAGTTTAAACATTCGCATAAAGTTTGTGCGTACACATGGCAAGTATGGTTGGCCAGAGCGTAGCGGCACACGACACAGTCGCGGCCGCGGTCGTCACTGAGTGCTGTAGCGTGTAGCGGTGTAGCTCGGGCTCGGATGGGGTGGCTCTTGGCCCTCGTCCCGCGCTGCGCGCCCTCTCCGAGTTTCGTCTACTGACACCCGGTTGCCCCCAGCTTTAAGGCATTATTCTACGCCGGACACTAAGCTTTCTAAAAAGTGAGCGTGATAGCACCTATTTAGTGGCGAGCAGACAATAAATCTCCTCATTTTTTTCTCTTGTGTATGCAAATGGACGCCTGTTATCCCTTTATGCCATCGCTCCTGATTTTTCTACGTTACTTTTGTATCGTAATCCACTATGAATCTGTTTCTATTCACTATCCGTACGCAGACTAAAGGCTTATATTATTTTGTAAGGTCATGTCATTAGCCTTATCGTAGATAAATGTAGTAATATTATACTTTTCCTATAGTTTTAAATGTAACAAAGTGTCAATTTTTATTAAATTATAAATTACGTTATATAATGCAACAATCAGACTTAAAGCTAAATAATATTTTTCCCCTACTATTCTTAGATTGAAACGAAAATTTAACTGATATAAAAATAAAATACTTTTAGCCATGAACTTGATATTACTTATTTCATCTATGCCTTTTGTAAATAGGAATTTATTGTTTTCTTAATTATAATTTGTATTAATAATAAAAATTACTCTAAATATTTTATACCAAACAATCATTTATTACGTTTTTATTAAAATAAAGTTATTATACAGTGAGTAGATAATAATGGTATGTATTTTTATAATATTCTTCACAAAAATTTAAGAGTAAATAGTATTTGTTTATGCGAAATATAATATCTATTACTTATACTTTTAAAAAATGGACATTATCAAAAATTTTAAAAATAATCGAAGATAGCTCTTCGAAAAAGATCGATATACCTAATAAAATAATTATAATATTGTTCTCGTACGCTATTTTAAGCTTTTAAGGGTCCCAGTTGAGTGTCTATACCAAGTAAGTGAGTTGGATCATAAATGAAGCGGTTTTGGTTTCTCCTAAGTAACTTAATGTAAGAATTGACAAGGATTCAACCTTAAAATTTTGCTTTGTTTACATCGCCATGAAACTAATGAAATCACGTACAAACTTGGATCAATTTGCATCATTAATGCTCAAATAATACACTAATGGATCAACATTATCCACTAATGAAAACCTTAATTATAAAATGTAGCAAATTTATCCGGTAAATCGAATCCGCAAATATTCATATTTTATAACTATGTTATTTCAATACAAACCCAATTTTTAAATTATGGATATTATTTAACATATCCATATCATAATCACACATGCATATCTGTATCAGATTGTATATCTTTTATAAAAGATTGTTTATAATAGAATTAGTAATTAGTTGATTCGTATTTTGATAAAATGTTTAACGAAGTAGCCTGATTGATCAAAACGAGAAAAGAGCTTTATCATCATCTCAGCTGTTAACTGTCCACTGCTGTACATAGGCCTCCCCTATAAAGGGGATTTTAGCAGTAGTTGCCACTACACTGCTGCCCATCGGCACGGGAAATGAATGAGTGGCTTATTCTATACCGCGACTACACTGTTAGTAAAAAAAATTTATTCTTTCCTAAAAGGCCGACAACACACCTGGAGTTTCTGTGTTGTCATAAGATGCCGTAGATGATGGTATTTACTTACCATCAAATGAATTGTATGCACATGATTATTTCGGTATAGAATATATATAACCTAGTAGACAAGTGTAATAAAATTCTTATTTATTAATGATCATGAAGGTCATCAAACCACCTGTTAGAAAATTAGAAACAAAATAAATAGATAGTAGCTATTTTACCAATTGGTATAAATATTAAGTAACCTCTAACTACTTAAACACTAAGTAATTCAGTTTAAGTATAATTTATTTCACAATTTTATGCGGTCGCTTTAAAAAATAAGACAATTAACATCTATACTAATTTACACAGTAGGTATATTCTAAGGCAAGAAAGTAAGTAGGCAATTAATTTGTCACAAATTACGTAATTTGTACTGAAATTTAATAACAAGATTTACCAGATACATATCTTGCTCAATATATTATCAGTCTTATTCATAAAAATTATCAACTTTTTATAAATCCTCTATAATAAGGGCGTGGTTATCAAAATTGTTATTTATAAATGTAGAATAACTCTGCAATAACTGCTCAATAGCGACGTCACAAATAAATTATCTCTAAACATATCATAAACCTATAATAGCAAAAAGTGTATACGCTCTATAGGCTAGACAATAAGGCGAAAACATCAAATAGCTGTTCCATAGTATTATAATCGACTAATACCTACAATAAGAACATTTTAACTCCAAAATTATTACTATTAAATTAAAATAATATATTATTTTACGCATATAAATAAAAAATTATCTCTTTTATGATCTAAAATATGTATGAATTGAAATTCTGTAAAAAATTATGGAGAATTACATTATATATGCACTCTAATTCAAAAGACATGCTCAAACCACATTATATTTGCTTAACTTGGCCCATGTTCATTAATAATTTGAGATATATATAATTTTTAAATTAAAATGGCAACAACATTTATATTTTTCTAGTTGTTGTTACAAAAATATAATAGTAGGATTAGTATTAGGTTCTTACATATGAAATTAGCGTTTTGTACGGGAGGAATATAAAGTGATTTTTATTTTTTGTAAAATATATTTAATTAATCAAAGTATGCACCTATATGTATGTATCTATGCACTTTTGCCATATTATAGGTAGTTCATTAATACCTTTACTAAAAAACCATGGGAGCGAGAATAAACACACTTTTAAAAGGCGGTTTAGACTGCCGCATCGTTGTTGAATTTTTAAACACTCACAAGTAACTTTTTCTAAGTCAATTTTCGTTTAGGGCAGGGTTTGGCTAGGTCTCCAGGGTTCAGCCATTGCGACGAGCGCTTCCGATTATCATACAGTATCCACTTTTCATCACAAGCAATAATTCGATTTAAAATCCCTTTATTATTCTGTCGGTTGAGCAAAGTAACACAGCAGTCGACGCGTGTTTGCAAGTTCGATTCACTCAATTTATGAGGTACCCATCGTTTAAGTCTTTTCACTTTCCTAATTTGCTTCAAGTGAATTAATACAGTTTTATCACTTACTCCGAAGCCTGCAGCTATCTCTGAAGTGCTTTGTGATGGATCTGCTTCCACAATAGCCTTTAATTTTTCATTTTCCACCTTGTTCTCCGGCCGTCCACGGGGTTGATTCTGAAGGTCGAAATTTCCAGAACGAAAATGCTGAAACCAAAAACGTACCGTGCTTTCTTTTGCTCTCTCGAGAAATATTTTAAAAGCCCAAATAATAACCGTCAAGTAATTTCAACGTATTGTAAATATACAGACAGATTTGGTAGGCGAGTTTCTTTTTATACTATTTGTAAATATCCTTTCAGTTCATTAAATAAAATGTAAAATTAAATAAACATAATATAGTTTAATATATAATAGATAATAAACACAATATAATGAGGGACTTGCTGTAGGCATAACATACGATTCTGATGATGATGAATTTATGAGGAGATTTAAATACTTAACCGACAATTAAGTAAGCTTATTTTTGTCGAACCAAATGAAATATTTTAGCTCGTTGGAATTTTAAAAGGTTTCTAATTTATTTTGCAAAATTTAACTTAAATAAACTAACACATATTGCCAGTTAAAATCTTGTAAAAATGAAAAATTGAAAATACGCTTCTACTGAAGCTACCTGGCCAACCCAATAATAGTAGCCTATATCTTCTTCTCATCTTAAAAAAGCCGTATCTAGAAATATTCAAAATCTTTATAGTATCCAAATTTTAAATATAGTTTAATAGTCAATAACTAACAGGACCTATATTCAAGTAACATCTGGATAAACAACTGAGTACTTACCTAATTACTTTATAACTAATTTTTAACATTTACAACAGTTTTGAAATTAATATTGTGAATTACAATAATATATATATACATAATGTATATATAAATAGACTAGTATCTAATTAATTACAGAAACCCCGATCCCAACCAATAATAATATTATCATGATTAAACGAGTACCTAGCTGGTTACAGAAGGAAGATAAATAAAACGCAATATCTATTAATATAACTTAAATTTTCCTGAAGATATTTTAATTAATTCTCAGCGTGCCAACATATAACCTCAGCAAATTTTTCTTTAAACATTATTTTACTTGTGTATTTTTTATAAGAACATAAACTATTTGTTCTAACAATATAATTGAAAAAGAATGTATTTTATGTATAATAATTATACATATATTAAAAGAAGGTCTGTTTCATATTATTTATGCTACGTTTGAGAAAGTTTAAATAGTAGGTACGTACTTTATAATATAATCACAGTTACTGTTTCTTCAGATTATACAAAATGACTACCATATAAATTATGTTAACAGTATACAGTTGAGATCATACAATTAGTAATAATGATATAAAACAGAAGATGTTTAATAAACAATGTCGATTAACATAATGTATACTTATATCTTATTTATGTAGTATCGGAATCATCAAGCTAAAAAACATATTGAGTAAAAAAATACTCATATTACTTAAAAAAAAATTTACATTTTTTATATTTTTTAGAAATTCATATTAAAACGACTTCAAGTCTAATTCTCACATGCCTACTTCTTCTTTTTTTGTGTCAATAGGCAATCTACGTACTTATTTATACATGTAATCTTTTCATTATGATGACGATAAGCCATTATCTGTTCACTGCTAAACGTAGGCCTCCGCATATTGGGGGAGCTCTTATTTGCTAGTAGTTGCCATGCTTGGCAGGCAGATTGACAAACCGCAGTCAGGATTTAGTGATGTTTATTTATTATTTGTTTTCTTTATTTTAAATCTCAACAATTTCAAAATGTACATGTAATAATTGTTGTCATCATAACTGTCTGAACTCACGTCATTAGT